CCACGTGTTATACCACGTGTTATATGGTATTATACCACGTGTTATACCACGTGTTATATGGTATTATACCACGTGTTATACCACGTATTATACCACGTGTTATACCATGTGTTATATGGTATTATACCACGTGTTATACCACGTGTTATATGATACTATACCACGTGTTATACCACGTTAAATTTCCAGGGGAGAAGATATCTAGTCAGTACATTAAAACAGATAGCAGTTAGACGTAGTATATTATTATCCTCTCAATTAAAAAACGTAGAACTCAGAGTTACTATATGACGATTATAGTAACTGATGATATTTCATTTAGAGTTATTCAAGTTATCTTGCTATATTATTCTGTATTAATGTTTACAATCAAATGATACTTTTTACATCTTACTATATTGTATGTAGATTGTTTGTCTTGTTTGTCCAGTGATCGAATTGGTGGTTTAAGTCTAAAATCAGATATAATCCAGGTAAAAACCCGCCAGTATGGGAGATGGTTGATAGATATAATTAAATAAGGAAGTCATAATGCTTCTTAAAGTGCAACCATACAATATTTGTACATAAGATGAAGTGAAAATATTCAGCAGTTGTGATTTGAAAAAACGAAGTGCCAGGCTCAAGTGCCAGGCTCAAGCACAATATGACGCGTTAGCAAGCCATCGTTGGCAAGCCTGCCTTTTCATTACCTTAATAGCCTTTGTGAGCTGGTATCCATCGCAGTAGAATTTGGTTGTGGCACGCTATACAATGGGAATGTTTAAGTGGGCGAGCGTCAATTGCACGCTTCTGTCCATTATTTAAGGAAGCGAGTTATTCAAATTTACAAAACCATGTATTGGGTTCTGCTAGTGCTGCTGCTAAGTGTACCTCCTCTTTCCAAAGGTAAGCATATTATGTGCCTTAATTTATAGCGCGTATACGATTTCAAGACACTAGCATTTCAAGGCCCATATCCGGGGACGCTCAATGTCAGTTAATACCTAGAACCTCATTCTGCCTTCTTCGCATCTCTCTCTCCTCTCACGTTAATGATGAAAACATTTGAAAATCGAATGTGTTTATTTTGCATTTTTGATACCACTTTGGGGTCGAAATTTAGGGATTTAAAATTACTATTCTACGGTAAATTCTCTTGTACCATTCTAAAGGTAAACAGCATATTTGACAAAGTCACAATACTTGCATCCAAATTCATAAAGATCAAAGATGGCTCGGCTAGTCAGCTCTATCACAAAATAAAGTCGAGATGGTGGTGTCAGTAAAATGGCAACAGATATGTAATATACATATATATACATATTACATATCTAATGTCATTTTACTGAAACGACCATAAAACATATTCAGGTCATCAAATAATGCTACAAATAGTGTCCTAAACATTCCTCATACGTTTTCTTAAATGTGTGACGAAATTTACCTGGGGCACCATTTCACAAAACAAGTCGTCCTATATGTAGGTAATGGCCATATGTACCCACTCGAAAATGTGGTCAAACATGGCAGCATTCTCCGTCACGTGTTTATAGTGTGACAATGTAAGAATTTCCATGCCGGCCGTATTAAGGCGATATCTTGTCACTCGGTTAAAATATCGTTATGTGACAAAGTTTGCCTATAGGATCAGACAATTATCCTAACCATCAAGGCCAAGGGTCTACATAATTTCATAGTGTGACAAACTTAACTACGCCATGCCTTTTAACAGGTTACTAGTATTTACCAATATCCTCAAATTCAAATGAACATGTCCATATAGTTAGATGTTGCGGAAGGCGAATTTGTAAAGCTTACGTTGCCGTTACTGAACTTTATCATCTTAACAGTTGATAACCGTTCTGAATATAAGTGCTGGAAAGCTTGAAATGAAAACTCTTTAATCTTTTGGGAAAATCTCATCACCAAAGGTCTTTCCAAAAATTGTATTAAACATATTTTATATTACCTATTTGAAAAATTTGATATCTGTTGTTTAAAAAAAATGTTTTTACATTTGTTGTGACCCAAATTTGACTAAAGCGGTATCGTCACTTTCCGTTATCAGATTTGTACCTCCACTTCAGTAGCTTATTTGAACTACTCGGTCGAGGTGAACATTCAAAAAATATTCACTCAGGTAAGGAAACATTCTACTTGATAAACGGCGAGGGAGCACAAGCAAAGAATGGATTTGGTTTCTTGTTCGTTCAGGTTGGCAAATACTCGGGGCCCGTCTTATTTGATGTTATTGAAGGACTCGATCAAGACTGTCTGGTGAACTACATTTGCCAAACGATGGGGTACAAGTTTGCATACAGTTGTTTCAAGTATCAAAAACCATTTCATGACACTAAAAGGACGACTGATTATAATTTTATATTAGAAGAAGTTTCCCGTTCTGTGGATCATACTGACACTGTTAACTCCTCGTACCGAATCAGATTGAATCCGTTAACTCCTCTCACCAAAAGGGACCAGCGTAACAATCAGTTGTTTTGCGGTCCTTTTGAGGGTGCCTGTCCAATCGTGGAGAAGAATAACTTCCTTAAAAAAGTATGCACGGAAGATTTAGGCTACACAGTATTTCAATGCCCCTATTCTGAAACGATGTACAGAACGGATTCTATAGATAGTGTACAAGATTTTACAACATTCAGTTCAATCTGTGGCAACGACCCTAAGTTCTATCAAAATTGTGGCATGAGAACTTTTCATACCTTAACTCCAACCACTGCTGCACTTTGTGACGGATACGTCTGTGAAACTGATAAAAATTGTACCGCATTTGTTGGCGGCAGCGTTCCTGCCATAACAGCTTTACCAGACATGATCTGTTATATAATATCAGATATTGTGAATGAATATAATTCTATCTATTCACAAGGCTCATGTGCAAATCTCAATCTACCAGAAAACTTTTGTGCTTCTAGTTCTAACACCGAAACAGAGAGTATAGTTCAATTAAGAAGCGGACTAAAAGTTAGCAAAAACACGGTATGTAATGGACAGTGTGATGCGCACTACATGTGTGAGGACGAGGCTTTCTGTGGCGGTTATCTGTACGGTATGTACTGCATTGGCTGGGAGCAAGTACTCAAATACATCAAACCGAGTGAAGTGTGCAATGGGTACTCTAATCTACAATCTTACACGAGACCAACTTTTTTGCGTGTTCTCATTTTGAATAATACGAAGTGCAGCGCTCCGTTGGCAGTTAACGTGAGCTCAAATACACTATATTTTGTTCGGACGAATGTAACTCTGACTGTGGCAGAGAAATCAAACAGAGCCCATTTCTTAAGATCATTTGTTGGTGTATATCCGTGGCAGCAATTACTCTGAACATGATTGCGGTTTACCGAACTTCGACAGACTTTTAAAAAGATATGTCAAAGGCGGCTCTTAACAATAAGATGCTGATACTTCTAATTAATGTGGGCGATCTGTTGATTGGACTGTATCTATTTCATATTGCGGTTATGGACACGATAATCTATGGGAGTAGCTACTGCTTTGAACAACTAAATTGGCTATCAACTGTTCATTGTACCATAATTGGTGTCATCAGCACAATTGGCTACGAAATTTCCCTATTATCCATAACAACTCTTGGCATAACCAGGCTGAAGGAAATACAAAATGGGGCACAGATCAGTATTCAGTAGTGAAGTCTCAAGGTCGGCTATTCTGAAAATCTGTTTAATTATAAGTGTTATTATTCTGATGTCTATTGCTATAGCCGTAGTCCCTTTGGTGCCTCAATTTGAAGATTTCTTTGTGAATGGCATGACCTATGACCCTTCAATAAAACTTTTTATCGGATCTCCTGGGAAAGAAATCCATCTTGATCTCCTACAGGGATACTATGGAAAAATAAAGGAGACAAATCTTAAATGGAGGATGATTAATGATCTAGTTGATGGTATGTTTTCCAAATATTATGGAGTAAATGTACTTGGTAGGAAGAGACTGAGATTCTACGGCAATGAAGGGGTTTGTCTTTTCAAATTCTTTGTTAAAGCAGACGATCCCCAACGAATTTATGCATGGGTTGTCATATCAATGAACATGATTTGCTTTGCAATAATCTCAGTATGTTACGTCTACATCAATATCTGGGCCAGAGCCACTTCTAAAGTACTCACTCAGGAGAAAGCGGGACAAGAGATCAGGAAAAGGAACAAAAAATTACAGCGGAAAATATCCCTAATCATTGGGACAGACTTCCTCTGCTGGCTCCCGGTTACCATAGCTTCTGGCCTACACTCGGCGGCCGTTGTAGACGCAACTCACTATTATGCCCTTATCTCTATAGTCTTCCTTCCAATCAACTCTGTCATCAACCCTGTACTTTATAACGATTTCTTTTCAGTGCTTTTGGGAAGATTTTACGAAAAAGTGGTAGAAATTTGTTCGCAAAATAGGATAAATCCGACCAAGACCCGAAACACCATCAATATCGATGAATGCAATAGTGCTGTTCAAATCATAGAGATGAAAGTTATACAAATTTCTCATGAAATACCACTCGATTAAAACTATATATTTTTTTGGTTACGCTGGTCGGTTATGAAACGTTTATTTCACGATTTTGTGTGACTACCAGGTTTATGATGATACATTGTCAAAGCTTATCAGCATTGAGGTTTAGAAAACTTCGCCCTTTAATCACCTGTTTCATTTCTACTTACGTTTTCTCGATAAGAAAATATCAAAAAAACTTTTCCTGCATAATAATGCCATTGGATTCGTTAAAGATTTCAAGTTTTATCCTTATCTGAATATCAATTGGATGCTTATCGCGTAAAATGAATTAGTTGGATACAATTTTAAAATATTGCTTTAAAAATAAATGAAAAAACTTTAGATTTATTGACGTTGGCTCATTGTTCAGTTGGTACTGTGACATCAAACACAATTTAAATTTTAGCTTAAGAATAATGTGGTATCACATCATGGTATATGAAGTAAGAACTGCCCAGAGTTTACAAGAAGAGACATTTCTTGTTTCTCACCTGACAATAGATTCGGCCAGTTTTTCTACAGTTTTCCTGAACTCGTTTTCAGGCTCACAGCTCACCGCCGTTATCACAGGTATCAAAACGTTCGTCTCGTTCCCAAACCCCCATCTCTGAATCTTCTCACTGACTTCCTTCAACAGTGTCCTACATTCCTAAACACAGAAAATACCATCACTATTTGTTTGCCCAGAGCACACTGCACCAGATGTGGTAGGATTAGTGCTACTGAAAGTCAAAGTTGCAGTTTGAAGGCAGCCAAAAACAAAAACCATTTGGTAACATTTATAATTTGGTGACTGACCGCTTCAGAGACTTTGTCCAAATAAGTGCCTACAATGAGGACGGAGCTGCCAGCAGCTCTGGCTGAGATGTTACCAAGCCAGACACGCAGTTCTTCTGTAGCACTCACACCTGACGGTCCCAGAAATAATTTAGTTGTTAGATGCTAAACCACATACTTTAGTACTTAAACATTTCATAGGATGGCGAATTTAATGTAACTTAGGATTCTACATTGAGAATAATATACACATTTGGAACGAATTATTTATATGCTGACCTGATGATAGGGAGAATACGAGGATGTAAAGAGTAGCCGGGGTAATGAAGCACTGATGAGTAGCGTAGTACTCCTGCTGCCCTCCAAAGTCCCAGGTGTGGAAAACAAGGGTCCTTCCTCCAACACCGAACGGCTTCCTAGTCCCCTCACTTCCCTGCAACCTTGTCTTACTGATCTGTATTCCAACAGTGGAGATATTCTTGTTGCTGGTGTATTCTTTTTGCAGTCGCTTGATCAGGGTTGTTTTTCCTTGGCCTTCCCTGCCCACCACGATCAGCTTCATCTCGTACAGAGGTTTTAGGGAGTAGAGTTTCTCTTTCAGGTACGCTAGGATTTTACCCGTTTTTGGGAGTTCGTGGTGAATGTTGTCGAGTCGAGAGATCCGGGGTAGTTCGAGGTGTTGCAGCTCTTCAAGGCGACCTGCGGACTCAATAATATTGATTTGATTTGAAACTTTTACAAATAGTACATTATACAATACAGCAAAGAGAATTAAAAATATACGACATTATTATCATGAGGCATTTGTAGGGTAAAAGTTGTAGTCCATATTGTATAAATACTAAAAGCATGGTTAAGTGGTACAAGTTCTGGGGGTATACGTATTACAAGTAATAGTTCTACTCCCAGACTCACTAACACCACCTCCATCTAAACACACAAAATGTATCTAAAACACGCAAATTTAGAATTATCAAAATAAATACACAATGTATCCATGACCTGACTCATAATGCGCCAAAAATTGCGCGCGTATCATCACACAGCGATTAAAAGCAAGATTACAGTCGGATATAAAGTTCGCGTAATCCAGTTAAGTATATTAACTGAGGACTGCACCAGGGTCAAATCATGGTGACAGAACGTAAATGTTATTTAATATTATTTAATAGATTTCTTTTTATATTATAGTTGTTATATTCAGTATCGTGACCGGTCTATCAGTGGCGGGGGCCCACATATAAATATCATTTGCACTCATTAACTTAGTCAGGGTCTGTCAATTTGTCCCAAAAGTGTTTTGCCAGGTTTGCCTTAAAAGTTCCGGCATCACTTATCTCTTTAAGGTCAGTTGGTAGGTCATTCCAGACACTGTGTGTTCTGAAGAAGAAGCTTCTCTTAAAGGAGTGAGCTTTTGCTTCCACAGTACACTTCAGGGAAAGGTGGTCGTGTCTGTTCTGTCGCCTCTGGTTGATATCAGGCATTTGAGATGTATCAACTTCATTATATCTCGAGGGTTGCCTTATGTTTGAACGCAACCTACCCTGTTCACTGGTTGTTATCGGGGTTAAATAAGGTGGGAGCTTCAGAACAGATTGACCATTGTATATCTGATGGAATAATAGTAAGTCTGTGTATTCAAACTTCAGCTCCATTGGCAACATGTCTAGCTCTCTTAATCGAGCCAAGTATTCTAAGTCATTATAGTGATGATCCTGTTCGCCAAGGATCCACTTAACTGCTCTGCGCTGAATGTTTTCAACTTTGTTATTCAAGACAACACTTGTTGGTCTCCAGACAACACTGCAATTTTCGAAAAGGCTCCTAACCAGCGCTAGATAGAATGCCCGTTTTTGTTTACGGTCGTTAATAAACCGTAGAGTTCTTTTCATTAGACCTAGACGAGAACTAGCTTTCGTACAAAGGTTGACTATGTTCTCCTCCCACTTAAGGTCAGTTCTAACAAAGACCCCAAGGTCTTTTTCACTCTGGACGAAGTCTAGTGCCGTTCCATCTAGGGTATAGACAAAGAGCTGGAAGGGGAAAAAACTCAAAATTCCCTTTTCACTCATTTTGCTAGATATAGAGAGCACCTTGCATTTATTTGGGTGAAACTTCATTTTGTTTCTTACTGCCCAGCAATGCAGGGCGTCTATGTCTGCTTGTAGGATCTCATGGTCTCTCCAGCCCGTGATTTTACGCCATATTTTGGTGTCATCAGCGTATAGGGCTATCTTTGTACCTTCACTTACGCATTCTGACATGTCGTTAATAAAGAGTACAAAGAACAGAGGTCCTAAAATGGAGCCTTGGGGAACCCCAGATTCAACATTCTTAAGTTCTGAGTGGGATCCCCCAATTATAACACACTGTTTGCGGTCTTTAAGATAGTTCATAATGAACTTCAACAGTGTACCATTAATTTCAAATTCCGATTTTAATTTCTTTAGGATGACATCATGGTTAACTGAGTCAAAGGCCTTGGCAAAGTCAAAGTATACCACATCAGTTCTGACATTATCGTTGATAGACAGAGAGAGACAGTCTATATACCCGACCATTTGTGTAGTACAAGACCTCTGAGGAAGAAAACCATGTTGGTTGTCATGTATTTTATGCTGGCATTTTGCCAACAGTTCATCTCTCACAATTTTTTCAAAAATTTTCATTACAAGGCTGGTGAGAGAGATTGGCCGATAATTTTCAACTAGAGTTTTGGGGCCTTTCTTATGCACAGGTACTACGTTAGCCAATTTCCACTCAGATGGTATCTGACCTATGTTATATGAGATTTTAAAAAGGCTCGAGAGTGGATATGCAATACTATCTCTACAGTTCTTTAAAATTTTGCCATGGATACCATCTGGACCAGCAGCTTTATTAACATTGACATCTTTTAGAATTTTTCGGATTCTGCTGGTACTGAACTCAATGTCGTTTACTGAGTCATTACTATAATCAATATCAACATCATAATTACTCGCTTCGGAAAACTGTGCAGCAAAATATTCATTGAACATTTCAGCTTGGTCTAAGTGATTGTTTCTAAATCTGCCGTTATAGTTTACTGTTCCTGGTATGCGAGTAGATTTTGATGTCGATTTGACATGTTTCCAGAATTTCTTTGATATAAGAGCTGGATCATCATCATCATTCAAATTTGATATCATTTTTTGGTCGACCAAATTTTGAAAATCTTTTCTACATTGTGAGAACTTTTCATAGTCCTCAGCTAGGCATGATCTTTTAGATTTGACTCGTAGTTTTTCTTTTTTGAGACACAGCTGATAAGTGTCAGAGTCAAACCAGGGTGGCTGATCCTTATCTGATATCGTAATAGTTGGGATTCGGTTGTGTATGTGATGGAACAGGATTTTCTTAAAACGGAACCATCCTGTTTCTGCATCACAGTTAAGGTGATCATCCCATCTAACTGATTTCAGATCATTGTTCAGGCCGATCCAGTCTGCTTTTTTGTAATTTAAGATTTTTCGTTTGGTGACCTTCTTTCTAAACTTCCCCAGGACCGCCAAATTTTCAACAACACTTATCATATTACAGAAGAGAAGATCGAGGACCTTCCCTTTATCATGAGTGGGTTGGTTTATCATTTGTGTTAAGCCTAGGTCATTAAACAGATCTATAAAACGGCCACCAAGAAGTGTGGGGGACACACCGTCTGACCAGTTAACTTCAGGTAGATTGAAGTCCCCAACTACAAAGTGGGCCTTAAACTTTCTCCGTCCTACCACATTTCTGAGGTGTTTCTCAATTTCATTAAAATTATTTTCACCAAGGGTGCCAACTCTATAGCAGGCAGTTATGCAGTAGCATGAGTTGTTTGATTTTAGGCTGACTGAGATCATTTCAGCCCTAGAGCTGACATCAATCTTGTCATTTTCAATACTGATGCCAGTCTTGACTGCAATAAGGACTCCGCCCCCCTTCCTTCGAAACTTATTTGGGTTATCAGGATCCGGGGGGTGGGATCTTTTGGATCTATCCTTCCGATATATCTTGTAGATGCTATCAGGGAGGATCTCATTTTCCAGGTGCTCTTTTGAAAGCCAAGTCTCAGTCAGAACAATAACATCAGGCTTGTCTTCATAGATCTTAGATTGGAGCTCTAGTAGTTTACCAGCATCAAGCGGCATGTTTTTAGATGCTAGGCCACTAAAGGGGACAAGCCCTCTCAAATTTTGGTACATTACCTTTAGATGACTGAGGTTATTGTTATCAACTGGACCTGGGTTAAGTATGCTTGTATTGCAGATAACAAGCAAAACTAAGTTCAGAATGGTCGTCCAGATGGTGAACATGTTACTTAGGAACTGATGTCCACTACACTTAGCGGAAGAGTAACGTCTGGGACAACCATACTTCACTATCCATAGGGCTATTCCATTTTGTTTCTTTGAATAGATGATCATTAGGACTACAAGATTTGCACTGTTCATAAGGCAGTCCCAGTCATTGGTCAGGTGTAGTCCGATCTTGTACGAGCGATGCATACGAAATGTTTGGTCTGAGTATTCACTTGCTGTTTCAATGGCCCCCGCCAATAACAGACAGATCATATACACATATACAACAATCACTACTCCATAAATCATCTTTAAAATAGCACTTTTCTCTATAGTGGTAATTGAATCTATATTTAATTTAGCATTGCATTTGACTTTGGGAGAGTATAGACCAATCACTGTTCTGTGTTGTAAAAACGTGACTCCCATAAATTAACTTTGTCAGTGAATTTAAATTTGCCAAACAACAATTTTTTAGAAGTAAAAATTTCCATTGAAGGTGAATTTTAACATTATTCCCATTATCTACTAGTCAATTGTCATTTCTTACCTAGTTCATTAGGGATGTCAGTGAATTTGCAGTTATCTATCTCTAAATGTAACATACACGTGATTCCACAGATACATCCTGCAGAATAAGTAATAGATTCTTCATTCAACTGATTATAGGTAGAGTAGATACATGATGGGGTGTAAATTGGATCATTCCATTATAGTTTGACTAACTGAACCAACGATATAGAGCATTAGATACTTGTACCGCTTGACTAACTGAAATACAACACATTCAACATCAATACCTGGAAAAGAGTCAAATTGGTTGTTAGACAGTTTCAGTGTTTGTATGGAACTGTCTCTAAACTGTTCAGGTAGGTTGGTGAGAAGATTTTTGGACAGGTTAAGATTCTTCAGTGATTGAGATATGTTTCCTCTCACGAACAGTCGTTCCAGGGAGTTCGACGATGCATTAACGTAGCATAGATTTGGCATTTCCAACAAGCCATGAGGTAGTTCCCTCAGAGCATTGCTGTTGCAGGAGAACTTCTGTAGATCCCTGAGTCATTGTGTAAGAATCAATCTGTACACTTATATCAACATATCCTATTATCAGTAGAATCAAAAGTTATCGTATCAAACATCATAGGATACACTACCCACACGTCATGTCAAATAAACCACATTATATTCACACCTGTCCCACAAGAATTCACACACTCGCCCAGCTGCTCTCACACATGACGGCACTGTACATATAACTGTGGTAATACATATAAATTGTTATAAAGTTATAAGGTGTCTCACATAACTTGTTATATAGTGTCTTAAGTGTAACTTTAAAACTTAAGGACTAATGATCAATACTGTGCGACATTTTGAAGTTGTTTAGGAGTCGCAGATAATGATTTTTTCACACATTAAACTAGTTCGAAATTCAAATGTTGTATTACACAATGTTAGGACTATAGCACAGCTACGAAAAGCTGGCGCCTAATTTTTGAGTTCTTAGTGTAATTCTATAGCAATTAGTGTAATTCTATGGCAATTTTACCAATAAATACCTCATAGCAGTGATTGAGTCAGGAAGGGTAGGACCAATATCATTATAACTCAAATCCAACTCTACGACATGCATTGCAGAAAGAGATCTAAGCCAGGAATCAGCAATGTACGGCAGACCCAAGTCATCCCAATTGAGGGAGAAGTGGTCAAAGTCGTGCTTGGTCAGGAGCAAGTGATAAATACAATCCTCTGTGTCCTCGTCAGTTCCATTCGACCTTCCTTAACAGTTACTGTGACCAGTTCAGCAATGAAATCAGGTTAAATGAAAAGCTGAGCGTCTTGTTAAGTATAGCAGAAACTGCAAAAATTCATTCTAGCATTTTCAAGTTCAAACATATTTCATGCGAAAAGAAACACTTACCTTTACCCTCCAGTATTAGTTTTATGGGAACTTTCAGATCAAAACTCTTGTCAAAAAACAGCTCAGTGGGACCATCAGATAAAATATTGTCTCCAGCAAACGCACCGTCCACATCCACACCGTATTCTTTTATCCGACCTTCTAGGGTTAGATTTTGAACAGCAGTTGACTCCAGAGCGAGACACTGAGCACACATCATGAGATATGACGCTGTGAGTAAGTGACCGTTCATTGCTGCGTGCGACACATTTTCTGCTAATTGCCGGGCCCCTTCTGTTATCAATAACTCTACGGTCTGAAATGATGAGGCCATTAGAGCTACTTTTCTCTAAATAAAGGTAAGATTATAAGCTCTTTTATCTGAAAGGCTATTTAAAATGTTCGTGTTCCATTGCATCATATCTTAGAAGTATCTCTTAAAGTAGTACAATGTAACGAACTTTTAGTTGTCCATAAGATGAAGCAAAGTTAAGTCCCTTCTCTATCATCGGCAACAACTTTTCCTTGTCTTCCTCAAAAAGTTGGCGCAGTTTTGGTAACATTCCCCGTAAACATGCATACCTAAACTCTGAAGGTTCGCAGTTTTACTTTCACATCTACCGGTTACAATAACACGAAATAATATTATATTTTTTGTTACCCCACAAAATGTGGCACCCAGTTTTGGAGAAATACAACACGGTTGTTGTAACACATCTAGATAATAATACCACAGTGATAGTCATGATTTTGGCAAATCTGAAAAGGCTGATGAACATTGTTGGAATAGTTTTAAAGCAACCTACCATATCTAAGCAGCTGATCGACACATGAAGCTTTCGAAAAGATGCTGAGATGACCCGAAGCTATGGTCCGAGCTGTTTTTTGGGATGCGTCTTTCTTAAAAGGATCCGCCCCATAATCAATAAGTTTTTCTATGATTCCCTCATAACCTGAAATTGAATCTTGAGTAGAGAGTTCTGTCTAATCACCATTTTAACAATTTGAACAGCGTATACAGCAATAATCTCATATATATATTTATGTTTTGGATGTAAAGTGCGATGTAGTTACCGGTTGTTATTGTCTATATGCAGGTAAAGGAAGTAATTATAGTCGTAGCAGTAAACATGGATGATGTAGAAGCTTGTATGTTTACCTATAGCACTGATATATTGACATAATATCGGCAATTGTGGACCAATAGAATGTTTTCATTCGACAAATTCGATCTGCTGCATGGAAATTAAATTTCGATTTATTTATTTCGTGCTCGCGCTGCGCGCAGTTTTCATATTTTACACCAGCGCGTCTTACAGCTACATTGATTGGTAGACCTCCTGAGAGAGACCTGGCGAATTATACATGCCTTGCTGACTATGCCTCTATCTTTAGTCTTTGAAATAGTCATTCAATTAAAACTATAAGGACTCTACGGAATGTATGTATCAGGAAAATTTGACATCTGACAAGTTAGAATAACTAGAAACAGTTTTTATCACCGATGCATTTGTAATTTTGGTGGATACACTGAAGTGGCCTAAGTAACACATCAAATTACAAGTTTACCATGACTTAAATCTTACAAATGTTATATGCGGATATGGACACGGATATGTGTCATAATCATAACCGTCAAAATACACTTTACAACTACAGAGTACCCAAAATAATCATAAGGTTAGATCACAATTTCAAAGCCAATTCAGAGTCAAACATTTGTGCGACAATATGGTTTTTTGAGGATAAGATTATTAGATGTGTTCGATTGATAACTGCAGTAATACTTATCAGGTAATATCACGTCTGCTAGATTTCTTGGGCATTTCTTCCGGAGAGAGTTGAATTTGAAGAATTCAAGAAAGATATGATTTCTAAACGTTTTGTTAATTAATGTTATCTTTGGAATATTTCCAAGAAGAATTGAGGAAACCAATTCAATTTTATCTCTTGAAGCTACGTAGTTTTAATCGCGGTTTTTATTAACCGGCTAAATTTGGGATACTTTGTATTCAGTTCACGTAGTCACGACACCATTGACAACAGAAGGACAGGCAATAATTTAAGTGTCACAACTTTCCAGTTGCATATTATTTTGTGGAACAGCAGTAACAGCAGTAACAAATTATAGGACCTGAAATTATAACCTTAACTCATCCTAAATGTTACAGAGCCACAGATGAGGTCGAGAATGGTCCTTCGAAATTTTATGAACTTTCTCAAGAAACGGATATATTGCATTTCTCAAGTTCCTCTCCAAAGAGGAGTCAGTTAACACGCCTAATACATCCTGTTCTACATTATTCCTTATCATTAAAAACTTCTTGTCATTAGTTCGACTATAACATATCTGTTCTGTATATTTGTCTAACTCTGAATATCACAATACTATCAAAATTATACAATAATTACAAATAATTGTACAAAATTAAGATCGTTTTTACCTTTAGATGCAGCGATGATTAACGGCGTTCTGTTGGACTGTGTACATGCGTTAATATCCGCTCCTCGGGAGAGAAGCAAGTCTAATACCTGAATAAGAAAATAACCGTTACATAACCGCCACGTTACCGTTACATAACCGTTACATAACCGCCACGTTACCGTTACATAACCGTTACATAACCGCCACGTTACCGTTACATAACCGTTACATAACTGCCACGTTACCGTTACATAATCGTTATATAACCGCCACGTTACCGTTACATAACCGTTATATAACCGCCACGTTACCGTTACATAACCGTTATAAAACCGCCACCAGGGGTGTAGGAAGCGGGGGGGGGGGGGGGCCAGGAGGGCCATCGCCCCCCCCCCCCCATGAAATCTGGGCAAGGGGCCAAAAAGGGCCAACTTTTTAATTTAGCTTCTAAAAATTTTTGGGGAAAAAATTAGTTTCCCGAAAATTTTTTAAGTCACAAATTTTCTTTTCTTCAAAGTTTTTCTGGAAATTACTTTTGTTCATGTTTCATTGTTCATGCTACCCTCATCATTCTGAGCCGAAAATATATTTTTCGGTTTTTTGAACTCCGTACCTACATTCGGAAGGTTGTGGATGTGATACTGATTGGTTTCATATACTAATAGTAATTATAGAAAACGTGATATTTGGCGCACAGATTTGAAGGAAAATACGCGAATTTGGTCCTCAGATTTAAAGAAAAATGCGCAATTTGACGCGGAGGACTGAAAAATCGCGATTTGTTGTGAGGCCAGAATCTGAAAAATCGCGATTTGGCCCCCCATGAAGAAAATCATTCCTACACCCCTGACCGCCACGTTACCGTCACATAACCGTTACATAACTGCCACGTTACCGTTACATAACCGTTACATAACTGCCACGTTACCGTTACATAACCGTTACATAACCGCCACGTTACCGTTACATAACTGCCACATTTCTCCGTCACATAACCGTTACATAACCGTTAGTTTAACACTGATTGGGATTCATAATTCATGTTTTATTCAAGTATTTAGCTTTAAAGTAATCTAACATTTCCTTAATTTGTATTTTATAACATTACTTCATTTTTTAGTTTTAGCGGATGGATTACTGAGAGTATGTGTGTTACGTGATATGAATGGGTCCCAATCCCCATCGACTGTTTAGTGTCTACGGGGTGTCCACAATGTAAAGGCTTCATTTTCATTACAATAACCGCGGTGTATTTATTGACTGCAAGCATAACTGTTACATAACTGTTACACAACTGTTACATAGGGGGGGGGGCCAAGTGGATATTTGTAGATATTTGTAGATTAATGTAGAATGGATAATCCACGAAAAAAGTGGATGACATTCTACAAATATCTACATTTATCTCCAAAAATTCAGTAGAATTTCTGGGCATTAACTTCAATTTCATCACGTTTTATATATGCTAAGTGCTTTAATGATATTATCTGACTACTTGCACAGTTCTTCTATGTTTATTTGAGTGTATTTACATGGAGATTATGGTCCATAAACACTATCATACAATAGAGAAAAGCAATGATCTAAAAGGGTGGAACTATCTAATTTAATGTTGCATATTATGGGGGGGCGGCGCGGGGGGGGGGGGGGGGGGACTAAAGTTCTGATCTCTAGTACCGGTGCTGTCAGTCTGAACTTCCAACCATGCCATCCGCCTGACTAGGGAGAGATAAAAGAGGTACTGTAAAATATGGCAAAATAAAATTGTCACAAGGTGGAATGAGGAGGAGGAGGTGAAAGAGGAGGCTAGGAGGACTGTGGAGAAGGAGGGGACTGAGGAGAAGGAAGAGGAGAACTAAGGAGGAGGACTGAGGAGAAGGAGGAAGAGGATGAGGACTGAGAAGGAAGAGGAGGAGGAGGATGAGGACTGGGGAGGAGGAGGAGGACTAAGGAGGAATATTGAGGAGGATGAGGATCACTGATCGGCTTAGGGCGAGGCCGAGGGGTACTTTTTTATCTTAATAGCCGAGGCCGAGGAGTGCCATCTTAGTTAAGACCGAGGCCGAGGGAAGCCGTGGGGTGCTTTTTTGACCGAGGCAGAGGTATATCCTAGTATATGCCCTTTGAATAAACGCCATCATGTAATTAGGAAAAAAAATAGGAATACTGTTTTCAGAAATGAGAAATGAGAATGTGTCGTACATATAAGGACTGAGGAGGAAGAGGATGACTGAGGAGGAGGAGGACTGAGGAAAAAGAGGACTGAGAAAGAGGTGGAGGAGGTTGAGGAGGACTGAGGAAGAGGAGGACGGAAGAGGACTGAGGAGGAAAAACACTCAAGAGGATCAGTAGGACTGAAAAGGAGAGGACTGAGGAGGAAAAGAGGAGGAGAATGACTGGGGAGGAAGAGTTAGGAGGGGGACTGAGGAGGAAGAATCAGAAGGAGGGGGACTGAGGAGGAAGTGTTAGGAGGAGGGGGACTGAGGAGGAAGATTAAGGAGGAGGTGGACTGAGGAGGAAGTTAGGAAGAGGAGGACTGAGGAGGAAGAGTTAGGAGGATCAGGAGGGGGACTGAGGAGAAGGACTTAGGAGAAGGAGGACTGAGGAGGAGGATGAGGGGAAGGAGGAAGAGAAGGAAGAGTAGGGGAGTAGGAAGCATCTAAATTTTATTTCCGTAACAGTTTTTGTCCGTTTTTGTCCATTTTTGTCCGCTTGCGGATGGGGAGACGGAGGACTGAGAGGAAACTGTACAAGCGAGGACTGAGGAGAACTGAGGAGGAAAAGGATAACTGAGGAGGAGGACTGAGGAAGAAGAGGACTGAAGGTGAGGTGGAGGGGGAGGAGGTTGAGGAGGACTGAGGAAGAGGAGGAGGAAAAATACTCAGGAGGATCAGTAGGACTGAGAAGGAGAGGACTGAGGAGGAGGAGGACTGAGGAGAAGGAGAATGACTGGGAAGAAGGAGGACTGAGGAGGGGACTGAGGAGGAGAACTTAGGAGGAGGTGGAGGACTGAGGAGGATGATGGGGGAAGGAGGAGGAGTGGAGAAGGAGGAGGAGGAAGCATCTAAATGTTATTTCCGTGAGAGTTTTTGTCCGTTTGTATCCGTTTATGTCCGTTTTTGTCCGCTTTCTGAGGAAGAGGATGCGGATGGGGAGACGGAGGACTGAGAAGGAACTGTACATGCGATGACTGAGGAGGAGGAGTTTGAGGAGGACTGAGGAGGAGGGAAGGAGGTTGAGGAGGACTGTGAAGAGAAGGACTGAGGAGGAAGAGTTAGGAGGAGGACTGAGGAGGAAGAGTTAGAAGGGGGAATGAGGAGGAAGAGTTAGGAGGAGGGGGACCGAGGAGGAAGAGTTAGGAGGAGGGAGACTGAGGAGGAAGAGTTAGGAGGAGGGAGAATGAGGAGGAAGAGTTAGGAGGAGGGAGACTGAGGAGGAAGAGTTAGGAGGAGGGGGACTGAGGAGGAAGACTTAGGAGGAGGAGGCCTGTAAAAATGTCCGCTTTCTGAGGAGGAGGATGCGGATGGGGAGACGGAGGACTGAGAAGGAACTGTACAATGTACATGCGATGACTGAGGAGGACTGAGGAGGGAAGGATGACTGAGGAAGAGGACTGAGGAAGAGGAGGACTGAGGATAAGGTGGAAGAGGGTGAGGAGGACGGAGGAAGAGGAGGACTGAGGAAGAGGAGGTCTGAGGAGGTCTTGCGAAACAAACTTAACCCGACCCTTGGAAATCATGACATTTGAACTCCCTCAGCTTCGCTTTCTTGATCGAAAGCTGATGCTAAAATCCCCCCCCCCCCCCCCTCCTGAAGAAGAGGAGGTCTGAGGAGGATGATAAGGAGGAGGATGTCAGGATGAGGAAGAGGATGAGTAGGAACACTGAGAAGGATGAGAAGGAGGATGAACCATCTAAATGTCATTTCCGTAACAGTTTTTGTTCACTCCGGACTGCGGAGGAGGATGATTGAAGAGGAGGAGGAGGAGGTTGAGGAGGACTGAGAAGGAGAAGGACTGAGGAGGAGAAGGACTGAGGAGGAGAAGGACTGAGGAGGAGGAGGAGGTGTAGGAGGACTGAGGAGGAGGAGGAGGAGGAGGAGGAGGAGGAGGAGGAGGAGGATAAGGAGGTGGAAGACTTGGGAGGAGGAAGAGGACCAAGGAGGAGAAGGAGCAGTGTGGTTGACTATTTCGTAATCACCTCATGGGCAAGAGATCATTGCTTTGTGAAATTAGTATGAATTTATCTTGAGCCGTCCTGCAGGACATGCAAACTTTGCTGGAGTATAGTTTTGCGAAACAAACTTAACCCGACCCTTGGAAATCATGACATTTGAACTCCCTCAGCTTCGCTTTCTTGATCGAAAGCTGATGCTAAATCCCCCCCCCCCCCTCCTGAAGAAGAGGAGGTCTGAGGAGGATGATAAGGAGGAGGATGTCAGGATGAGGAAGAGGATGAGTAGGAACACTGAGAAGGATGAGAAGGAGGATGAACCATCTAAATGTTATTTCTGTAACAGTTTTTGTTCGCTCCGAACAAATCATGAACATTTGAACTCTCTCAGCTCCGCTTTCTTGATCGAATGCTGATGCTAAAATCCCCAAAATTAGTTTTTCCCCCGTTCAGCAACAGAGTTTCTGCCGATCTTATGTCGATCGTTCCGAAGAGGGTTGTGCTGACCTCAGTTGCTGCCTCCGAATCTGCTTCCTCCGATTCTAACATATTATAAGTATCATCAGTGCAAGTGGGACAGTCCACTTCATCATTCTCACACTCAGTCAACTCTGCAGGGTCATTTATATCCTCCTCTCATTCAATCGGATGATGTTTACATCTTCAAATATTTGCAGGAAAGGTAACTTGAACTTCTTACCATCGTCCACGACAGCCTTGGTACCTCGTTCCATGGCTTTCTTCAAGCTATCTATTTTGATGTCACTTGAACTCAAATTGTGGACCTCCTTCGTATCATTCTTCCATGTCTCGTGTGGTAGTGGAACTTCTTCCCTGAAAATACTGCGTCCACGGGAATGGGCATAGGCTGTCATGTCATCTGCAAGAGCGAGCTCTGAGCGAAGATTTCTTTTCTCGCAGCCGTATGCTAAAGT